AAAGGAGGATTCCTACCACTGGAGCGTGAAGGCTTCGCTTGGTGTTCAAAGGTAAGAAACTCTACTTGTGATTTGGGATTACTTCACTCTTTTCTTTCTTCCTTCTAGAATTCTTGTGAAAAGATCTGTCAAGGAGATCCGGTTTTCTGCCAACACTTGGAAAGTGTGAACAGCCGCGGGTTCTCTACCCACACTAAGAGAGTGTGAAAGGACGAAGGGTTCTCTGCCCACACTAGGAGAGTGTGAAAGGATGAAGGTTTCTCTTCCCAGAACAGGGGATAGTGTGAAATGATGGATGGTTCTCTACCAGCACTAGGGATAGTGTGAAAAGAACGGATGGTTCTCTGCCAGCATTGGGGATAGTATGAAAAGGACAACAGTTCTCTGCCAGCACTGGGATAGTGTAAAAGGATGACGGTTCTCTGCCACACTAAGTAGTGGTGAAACGAGTTTTGTAAAGGCTTCTCCTCCTTTCTATGGGTGCAAAAGGAGAGTCACTAGTGGTAATAGTGAAATACTCGTAGGGTGCCTCCGGGGAGTGGATGTAGGTCTGGTTTTGACCAAACCACTATAAATATGGTGTCATTATTTTTCCACTACTTTTTATTTTTGTGATTTACTGTTTTAAAACTGTGGTTGAAAAACTTTTTCTATAAAATTCATTAAAGTTTAATTTCAGTTTAAAATACTAAAAAGAGGGATTAATTTTTTAAAATACTAATTCACCCCCTCCCCCCCTCTTAGTTAGCCGTGGGACATAAACTTAGGCTTAACAACCTAATTCATAGTGAACGAGTTTCAACACTAACATTTTAGGTCCAGAAGATCAAACTATAATTTGAATCAGCTCAAGATTTGGTAGACTATGTCTGAGTCAGTTTGTAAACATTTTCTTTTCATGAGTCTATTATAAACGATGTGATTCCTGATGCTAAGTAACCTTGCACACACACACACTTGGGGAAAATTTCTAACTATTTTTAAAGTTCTCTATTTTTTGTCACATCGTCCGGGACGATCCAAAAATTGGCCTGGACGATCAGTTAAAAATAGAAACCCTAATTAGTGCATCTTGGTTAAGGTAGTTGTCATTAAGCTCATCATCCTAGATGATATTTGGATTGGCTAGGATGATAAGCTCAAATCAGAAAGAATCAGCCGCCATGTCAATTTAGGTAGCTTTTATTTTTGGATATCATCCAAGACATCATCCAGGAATTCATCCTAGATGATGCAATATAATTATGCCTAACTTAATCTAGTAATTAAGAAAAGTAATTAAGGTTTGATTGCTTGATCATATCGTCCTAAACGATCGCAGGATTGGTTGGGACGATCAGTTCAAAAACCTTAAGTATTCCTGGATGACCAAACATTGGCCAGCTTCTATTCAAGGCGATGCTTTGGATGATTTGCACTGATTTGAACTAATCATCCGGGACTATCGTGAGATCGACCTGGACGATCAACCTATTTTTCCATCATCCAAACATCCATTCAGTGCGATTGTCTGCATGATATTCATTGATTTATACTAATCGATCATGATGATATACTATCGGCCTGGACGATATGACAAAAAACCCTCTGATCGTCCCAAATCATCCTGGATGATTGAGCTTAATTTTCACTTATCATACAAGATGATATTTATATCGTCCTGAATAATAAAGTCGATTTGTTGCAATTAAGAGCTATTCCGAATATCTTCTATTTAAGACATATTGTTATACCTAAGAGAGCATCTTTTGTTGCTATTCTAACTTGAGAGAGCCAAGAGGAGAGGGAGAGCAAGGGAGAGGGAGAGAGAGGATCTTATGAGGGGGAGTTTGTGAGGGGTTTTATAAAGGTTTCTCCAAGCAAGGATCCATCATGGTCTTCTCCAGTCATCATCCTTAGTTCCTTGGGGGCTCTAGAGAGGTCTACTTCAACATCTAATTAAGGTTCTCTACCATCTTCAGGAGGTAGCAAAAGGAGTTGAGTTTTATGCCTGCTTCTAGAGGTAGCAAAAGGAGTTGAGTTTTATGCCTGCTTCTGGAGGAAGCAAAAGGAGTTGGGTTCTCTGCCTCACTTGGGTTGGTGGAAAAGAGGTTTGTAAAGGCTTCTCAGCCTTACTATGGAGGCAAAAGGAGAGACACTGAGTTTAATGCAATACTCGGAGGGCACCTCCAGGGAGTGGATGTAGGTCGTTTTGATCGAACCACTATAAATTTTTATCTTCTTTATTACTATTTTCATATATAATTTCTGTACTTTTATTTCTGTGGTGAATCTTGGTTTTTATTTTTATATTGTGTTTTGATTGAAATATTTTTTAAAACACCAATTCACCCCCTCCCCCTCTTGGTTAGCCTTGGGATTTGTTTATAAGGGCTTAACATCCCTGTTGAACTTTCAAGTGCCATCAGAGCACTTTTAGATACTATATTTAATATTTTATTACTTGACATGATACATATACTTATGTAGAACTGGAGTTCACAAATAAAATTGCCTCTTTGAAGTGTGTTATTAGTAGTTATGCCAAGGTTAAATCGATCCTCGAGGCTATAATAAATATTTTTGTACCACTATTTAATGCTCAATGTCCTTTTAGTCACTTGCCTGTCAAAAGGATAATTAAATATGGAAACTAAATGTGTACTTTCATATGTCTTTATATGTATTTAGCAGGCAGCTGGTGGGCCATGATAGATGAACTCTCCCTCTAAGGGGGCCCACCTAGGGGGCTCGTTAGGGGCTTCATAGGAAAACTCTTCTAAAATGACCAAAACATGTGCCACTCACCTAAGCCTTCCAAGGAACACGTCTTACACAAGGTAGATTGAGGATGCCTTTGTAAAGCTAACAACTCGACATTCTCCATATGCTTGGAGTACATCCAAGTCACTTGCTCTCACCTAGGACTACCATTCTCCCCAAACCATCTACAGGAAGGCTACTCATGGGACACTCAGTTCAACTCACTTCTATCATCAAGGTGGAGCTCTCGCCTCCCATAGCATCGTCTGACTCACCCATCTCTTCTCAAGCGATCTAGAAACTTCCATACAGGTCTCCGACCATGTTAACAAACTAACCAATCATTGATCCCCTCTCATATATGTGTTCACCCACAAACTCACCTAAGCACACTTGCCCTCATATACATGGAGTCACTGAACTCACCTAAAGGTATTTTGTCAAAGCCTTCCGATCTCACCCTCCTTTAGCTAATCAAGAGGTAACATGTATCTAGGATTGTGCGTAGTGTTATACATGTATTGTGGTACTGTTCTTTGTTTTTATTTATTTTTCTATGTAGTCTTCTATGTAGCCCTCAAACCCCTATAATAATGGGTGATGATGAGGATCAGTTTGGGGATCTTAAACTGGAGTTATTTCAAATGATATAGTGGATACTCTACCAATTTTGGTAATCATATTTTTTGAGTATCCTTCATATTTTATCTCTACTTATTCTCTCTCCATTTCCATTCTCATTTAGGTTCTTAAGTCACCCACTCACTCTCAATTTCAACTCGTTAGTCAAGTTGAGTGACTCCGATTAAAAATTTTGAATTCAAAATAAAGGCAAATTATTTTGTTAAATGATTGCTAATTTCTATCATAGGAAGATAATACCAAAGTCATCTCATATGAAATTAACATTTTAAGAGATTAATGACGAGTAAACTAAATCCACTTTCAAAGGCAAAGGGAAACTTATTATGCACCTCAGTAAAAGGGTCATGTTCTCAGCCATTCTCGTCAATAAATATTTATCTTATTTTAAAAAAAATTACTAAAAATTATGGTATATTTATTAAACTAACATTTAGTATTTATTAGTATTAATTAAGGAATTCATTTTAATTTATTAATGAAAAAATAAGATAAATATTTATATAAAATATTATTTTCCTTAAAATAAGATAAATAAATAATAATAATAATAATATATTATGAAGAAAAATACATTAAAATTTTATATTTTTAAATTGATTATGATAAATTAAATTGTGAAATTTTTTGACACAAACATAAAAATAATTCATTCTAAATTATTTATTAAAATAAAGAAAAAATAATTGCATTTAACGTTTTAATAAAAAAATTACAATGTGCCTTCTAACATATATGAAAAAAAAAATGATTTTGATTTTTTTATTTCTCTGCTACTTTATTTCTTTGTTTATTTCTTTAGTTTATTTCTCTCTCATACTTTCTCTCTCTTGAAATCTTTTTTTAATGTTTTTAGAAGTTAAGCTAATCGCCTAGTTCTACATTTTTTATTTATTTAATAACTAATTAAATTATTAACGGTAATTGTTTTGAAAATTTATCCTTGTTTAGCATTGCAGACTGATAATATTGCCGAATATAGCTTTGTTAAAACATGAAGACAAAAAAACGTAAGATAAAAAATACATTGAATAACAAACGGTTTTTGCACAAGGATTGATATTGACAGAAAAATTGTATCATCTTCTTGCATTAAAACACAAGACAAGAACAACGTTAAATAAAAAATTAAATACAAATAAGAAGAGTCATTCTAAATCACTTGATTTTGATTTTTCAAATCCCGTTGATAATATCTTGACTTATTTTATAATGCAGAGTTTTGATTAATAAACATAAAAAAGTCACCATATTAATTCATGTTATACACGATTTATATTGGGGCACTGATTGTTGAAGTGCTACACAGAATTTATGGGCTTGAAAAATCTCTTTTTATTATCATTTTTTTTTTTTAATTTTCAAGCTTCAAACGAAAATCAACAATATCAAGTCAAAGAAAACAATTAAGTCTTTGTTCTACAAGTATATTTTTTAATTCAAAATTTTTATGTTAACATCATTATACTTTACTTTCAAATCGAATCAAATCTATTCAGAAATCATGCGTTTAATTTCTAATTAATTAGGTGATTGTGATTCTTATACCAGATATAAACTCCAGTCGTCCAGTAACCTCTACTAAGATATGAAATATTGCCACAAAAAAAAAAAAATTCTAGATGAATCCAGCACATTTTTTATCATGTGAAAGTATATTTCCCGCAACTGTCAGGTGATCTTTAGTTACATAGTAAACTCGAACTCAGAATTTGAACAATTAAACAAATCAATAATAATTGGAAGAGCAAAAAAAACACATTACAACATTTGAGTACTTAAACTGCAGTAGAAAAATGAAGCTTTCTTTCAAATCCGACGTAAGAGATTACCAAGGTACCTGGTGTAAGCTGATGAACTCGAAATTCCGATATTATTGGTATTTCTCTATGAAGAGGCTAAAATTTAATGAACAACTAAGGTAAATGATTAACTTCTCAAGCCTGGCACTGGTTTCCAATCAGGTTTCTCATCCCAAAACATGTCATAAAATATATGACCTGGATCTTTATTCATCACGCAGCACCATATTCCTACATAACCCTGGACGCGATTTCTGAACCTTCTCTCAGATACCTATGCGTATATAGTTACAATTCAATCAGTACAAATAAATAATTAAATCGGAAAAATCAAGGCTAATGTTAGTAATTCCTGCTTCAGTTAGTTTCCAATCACGGTTAATGAAATACGATAACTGCTTTTTTTTTTCTTATTTCAACGAAATGAGAACTGGAGTATTTTAAAAGAAGAAACCTATTAAGATATTAAAAATTACATAAAGGAACTAGTGAATTTGCAAGCTTACCGCATTATGAAAACCTTGGAAAGCGTCCATCATGGACGAAAATTCTATCACTTTGACATCCTCATACAATGAAAAAAACTCTACTATCTGCAGGGGAAAGATACAAATATTTAGTCAATCAGCATCACCACGAGGAGAGGAGTTCAAAGCAAATTCTAGTAAATATATTTTAATGACGAAAACATTTTTGGTAATGACCTAAGAAAGGTTATCCACCACAACGTCAAAGCATATGCAACTTTTAGTGACAGAAGTAAGATTTTAAATGAGGTGATAAAAAGGGTTTATCCCCAAATTAAAATATATATTTGTAAGAGAAATTTAAAATAAAAATTTCGTATTAAATACAAGTACATATGAGTTTTCTCAAATTTAGAGGGTGAGAGACGCATGCATTGTAAGGTGTGTTGAGTGATACATATGAATTTTCTCAAATTTAGAGGGCGAGAGAGGCATGCATTGTAAGGTGTGTTGATTGTACAGCTTATTTGACAACGAGAGCAAAAAGATACCATTTCTTGGGTGCTGTGCATTGGCAATCTGATGAACCCTTGCCGATCAGTTTGATTAGTTTCATGGCACTTTGATGATTGTTGCTTACAGAGCTTAACTTCAAGAAAAGATTCCTTCACCTATATCCATTAAAATTACATCTTTCAATTGAAAAAAAGAGAACCCAATATCAACTTCTTAGTTTTAAGAACAATGCATTACCTGTTTAGGAAGTCTTGGGTTTTGGAGGAACGAGTATTCCCTGAAATCAATGTTTGGTCCAAATTCTTCAAAAGGTTGATCTCTCAACATAACATTCACCTAAACATATCGGAATATCCTTTCAGAGTTTATAGAAGAGATGAGAGATTCTGAAGTTCACATAAATAGTTACGAAGATGATGGACATGAAGATAAACATGTTGATTATACATATAACCCATCCTATGAGAAAAAAAAAATTACAATCCTACCCTGGTCCAAATGATCTCAAGCTACTCATACAGGATAACAGCTGCAATATTAAACCGTGTATTAAGGATTACACAACTGGTTTCATAATTACTACCAAAGTAGAAGTGCATCCAACGCAATATAGAAGGCCCTTGGAACATTAAAAAGTTTTGATGACGGTCATGAAGACCATTGAACATGATCTTCTTCCATATGCCACTTCCTATGAGGCAAGAAGATGTATAAATCCAACGCTGCTCTAAATGATCTGAAGCTAACTCATACTTTGTAAATGCTGAAACACTAAGCCTTGCAGTAAAGATTCCCACAACTCATTTCACAGCATCAGCAAAGTACAATACAAATCCTTAGAAGAACATTAATGCGGCCTGTGGACTGTCACTAACACTTTTGGAAATATTATGTCAACCATAATGAAACTAATAAATAAGAGACTGAAAACAATGAAAGTTGGCACCATATGGATTCCGCCCATGACTGCTTATCTTCAAGTGTGCTTTACAGACAATAATTACAGGTTAAGCGGCTGAGAAGATGGTGCTGTAAAGCATGGAAAATACCTGAGCCTAATGAATCTAATACCTCTAGCAGTTCGTTTGAATTACTAGCCAGGTTTTGGGGTGGCATACCTCAAATACGTGGTCCATAGGACAGAGAAAAGGTTGTCTGGTTAAAGTTCCTTCCATTATTCCAGGATGTCCAAACCACATTCTATCTAACCTGCACCAGATTGGAGGCATTACCTAACATAGAAGAATGATTATCAGTTTCATAAACTTTATTTAACATGCATAACATAAATATAATCAGAAACTGAATTGCATATGCATCTCTATCATTAAGATTGCAGACTGACTTGTTTTAATTATTTTTCCATCCTGATGCATTAAAATATATTATTCTTACAAATTTTTTGCACAAATTGGGGTATAAATGTTATGCATAAAAAAAAAAAAACTCCGCATGTGTAATCTTGTTGCACTGTTTATGATGTAACAAGAGGACCAGTACTGAGAATATGTATGTATATAAAACTGGAATATAAGGTGAAGCTGTTCCAGAAAAGTTGTTAGAAAATTAGAATTTTATAATTGAACAAAGAACACGTGGGATAAGATAATTAGTTGCATTAAGAGATGGCAACATAAGGTTTTTAATACTTAATTATAGATTAAAAATAGTAAGAGAGTAAGAGATGGATTGAGGATATATAAATAATTATTAAGAAAAATAAATATACTTTTGAGTGGAAAATAAAAATCAAATGCTGTTAAGACTTACAATATCATAGGAGGCGAGGCATCTTGCAAAGAGGATAAAAGTAAAGCAAAAACTTCAAATTTTTATGATATATATATATATAGAATGATCGTCAATTTCATACACTTTAATATGCCTAGCATTTAGAAAATCAGAAATTAAAATGTAAAGCATCTGCTCCATTGAGATTGCAGACTTTTTTCTGCTTCATTACATTTTTAATCCACTTGCTATGGATGTGTTGCAATCAATGGACATTTTCATCCAATCCCTATGATCAATATGAAAAAAGTCTTAGACAATGGCGTTTTCAGTTGTTGAATTTAGAAAGCTAAATTTGATCGTACTGCTGGTTTATAATTGTTCCCATGCTCAAGTAAATACTCATATAACAGAAATAATTATACTCCATCGTATGTCGACATAAATATATATAGAGAAACAAGGAAACATATTAAAGACAATTAGGCGTTAGTAAGATAAAAAAAATTAAGAAAAACATTAGGAAAACTATAACAAGGACATTCTGTGGTATAAAACCATAAATTAATCCATTACATACTTAATGCAAACTACAAATGCAGTAGTTTTTTATTTCACTATGACATTATAGTCACCTAATACTTCACTTATAGAGCTGTTTCAACAGTATTTCAGCCCGTTTAAGGGAGGCATTTATGTCTGTGCTAATCAAAAGCAGCATGCTTCTGTTTCTCTTTATAAAGGATGATGTAGTATTGCCTCCATAATATTCCTGTGTTTTCCATATCAGATATTTAAGGCTTTACTATGACTCCCTATTCTCTGTATGGGCTATCATAAGTTAAGCATGGTGAGATTATTTACACTTTAATCAAGATTTAACTATTGACATGTCACACAAGAAATTTAACTTTTCGTAGTACTTTGCAAGTTGGAAACTATATCCAATTGGAGTCTTCAAGCAAGGCTTTCCATCATAACCAATCTCATGCTCACAATTGACCAAAATAACAAGTGTGAGTAATGCAGGACTACAATGCTTTTGAATGTATGCAAAAAGAACTTGCATGATTTTGATAAGAACAATTACGATTAAGACTATTAGCAATCAAAACGATAAAAGAAAACGTAAGAGGGGTAGCTACGTTTAGGCCAAATCACATTCCAAACATTTGGATTATCAAAATAACTTAGAATTTCAACAACATGCGAATTAAGTAGTTTTCAACAAAATCTCTAAGCTAACAATAAGATAGAAACATAGAAAGCACGCTCAATCCTACGTTTACTAAGCAGAGGCAGAAAGCGAAGCATGGCTCCTTGTGACTTGATCACCACCTACATGATTAGTGGATTAGGAAATTAAATGAAAAGGGGACGAAGTTCACCCTTGGGATGGTCCGAAAACGATTTGCCACTGGACGTTGGCAAGTTGCTCGTCAATGGCCTTTGAGAGCGTGAAGATGATGCGGTCCACGTACTCTTCAATGGAACGATCAACTTCCTGTTTGAAATCGAATGTGGAGTTGAGGATGTTGACGTTGCCTTGTTCGTCGTAAGCGAATCCGTAGTCAAGTTCTGGATCGGCCATTCATCGGCTTTGAAAGAATGATGTGTAGATGAAGGCCAAGGTTGCTCCCTTGAAGACTCCACTAGAGAGAAAGAAGTTTCTCTCACAAGTTGAGATAGAGGAGGGGATGGCCGGCCACTATGGGAAGACTTTGGTTTAGTTTTTGTGGAGGGAAATCTAATTCAAAGACCTCCTTAATTAATCCCTTTATTTGAAAATAATTAAAAAAGAGAAAGAGGGAGAGGGGGCGGCGGGCAAGAGGGGAAGCTTGAGATTTATTTCCACAAACCAAGGATGGGATTTTGGAAAGTAGTAAGGAGGTTAGGCTTTAGGAAATTTCGGCCAAGAGAGATACGGGTGGGCCTTGAATTAATTCCAAGAGGGGAGATGGCCTTTAGGAAATAAATCCAAAGATGTATTAATTAGTTTGGGGGGGGGGGGGGGGCCAGGGGCTAGGATGTTGGGGAGAATCAAATCAATTTTAATGCTTTCCTCCTTGGGATTTACTAATTAGGACATAGGATGTAATGTCCACTCCAAATCAAAGGAAGGAGGTGGGGCACAGGGGGCTAGGATGTGGGGACATTAAAACAATTTTAATGCTTTCCTCCTTGGGATTTACTAATTAGGAGTAGAATTTAATGTCTACTCCAAATCAAATTAAGTTTAAATTTGAATTTAGAAACTTTCCTAAAATAGGATTCGCTTTTAGGAAATGATTCAAATTTCAAATTTGAATTGATTGATAGTAAATAACTTTCCCAAAAGGAGTAAGCAAGAAAGGAAACTATTCAAGTGGAGTTTGGAAAAATTGGAGGTAAGGGAGGGAGAGGTATGGCCGGCGGCTAGGTTGGGGTTTTGTAGGGATTTCGATGGGGGAAAGGGAGAAGGAAAGTGGAAAAATTGGAGGTAAGGAAGGGAGAGGTATGGCCGGCGGCTAGGTTGGGGTTTTGTAGGGATTTCGATGGGGGAAAGGGAGAAGGAAAGTGGAAAAATTGGAGTTAAAGGGAGGGAGAGGTATGGAAAGGTGGCTTGGCGAAGTGAGGAGTTAGCCGACGGTGAAGTGTGGCTAGGGTGGCCGGTGGCTTAGTGGTGGTGGGGGAATCCTTAGGCCGGCGACTAGGGGATGAATGGAAGAGGAAAAGAGGTAGTGAAGAAGAACCACGAACCCGGCCGTCTCCAAGGTTGGTGGGTAATCCGATTTCCCTCTCCAAGGGATTTCTCTCCCAAGCACTCTCAAGATCTCACAAAAAACTCAAGCAATGAAAAATTTTTATAATTCATTCATTAAGTATAAGAAGAGAAATATAAGGGCTATAAATAGCCTCATACAAATGACTCAAAAAGTAAAGACAACAATACTCTTTGGGCATGCACATGACCTCCCTTTAATAAAGGGTAAAAGTGAAAAATAATAAGAGCAAATACAAATATAAAATAATAAAAGATAAATACATAATATAACTCAAAAATATATTGACTCGATTGTGGCCGTAGATCGACGGCCACGTCTCTGATAGACTTTCCAAGCTCTGATGTCCCCATTAGTGAGTCCTACCCCTAGTAAACCCTGAAGGCCTTTCCAATGCCAAAATCACATAATTGTTTGCTTAAATGAGAGAATTAGAGCAGAATACTAAAATTTAAGATAATTCAAGTAAATAAGTAGCCCTAGACTTTTTTATAGACAAGGGTTGAGGCTACTTTTGGATTATTAAGAGGCCATGATATGCCCACACTGAAAATTTGAGTGGGATAGGCAGCTTGGATTGAGGTAGCCTATGAGTGTTTTATGGTTTCCTTATATAGTGTGCACCGTTGGATAGATAAAAGCCATGCATGCTAACCTTGGATTGCATGCGTGGATAATTAAGTTTGAATGTTTTGTTGAAGAGAAACAAAGATTGTGTGCCGCATTTACTAGAGATCAGTTCACGCAGTGATGGAATTGCATCATCATGAGCATACTATTAATTCATTATATATATATATATTAAAAAAGTGCAATCCCTTTAATTTTTGAAATAAAATATAGATCATGTGAATTTAGTAGGGCTTGTGTATGTTTACTAATCCTAATAGAGGACAAATTCTTTGCTCTTTAATACAGCAAGTTGCACTAATTGGGATATAAATATCCCTGCATACTCAATTTGTTGAATTAGTCAAGTTTAAATGTTAGCCGCCCTTCCAGATAATTTATCACAAGTTTTAGCAATTAGACCAAAAAATATTTCGAATAAATCCCATCAATTTTGAATGTTCACAAAATATAATAGATACTAAATATCAATAAATATCTTAGAAGTATAAAAGAAAAAAAAATCAACATAAACAATGACCGATAAAAAATGGAAAAAAGAAAGGTGCGAAGTGTTACCTTTAAAGATTGTTAAGATAACCAAATTGAATTTCTATAGTTGAGAATAAAAGGTCGGCTTTGTAAAATAACTATGCAAGCTATGTAATTTGAATTCCCGTGTTGAGCGATAAAGATGCCACTAATAGCTAAATTAACAAAAACATCGAGCCTTTATCCTACTTTGTGAGGCCGGCTACATGAATCCTTTTTCTCTATTGTGTCCTATTAAAAGTCAAATTTTCATTCAAATCTAATAAAAAAAATATCATTTCTAATACTTTCTAACCAAGTCTTTTTAAGTCTACCTCTACCTTTCTTAACATAGGTCATATCTAATACATCGACTCTCCTAACCAAGTCAACGAAAGGACACCATTTTATATGGCCAAACCATCTAAGGTGACTTTCTCTAATCTTATATGCCACTCATGAATATAATTAATTAGCATTTTGTCTCCAAGAGTAAAGCTATTCATTCACATGAGCATCCTCATCTCTGCAACCCTTTAACTTAATTTTATACTTATTTTTAATGGTCAACATTCTGCGCATAAAGTATTGCAGGTCTCACCACCATCATATAGAATTTTCTCTTAAGTTTGAGGGGTACCTCTCTATCACACAACAGGATTGATGCATTCTTTCCAACTTAAATTCTACTAATAATATCCTCATCTATTTCACCATCACTTTGGACAATAGACATGAGATATCTAAAACATGTACTCTATAAAATGATTTAATCGTCCAAAGTCACAATCCCCCCACTAGATCTATTACTACTAAAATTACACTCCATGCATTTAATGTTAGATCTACTCAAACAAAAACCTTTAGAATCTAAGGTTGACCTACATAATTAAAGTTTTCCTTCAACCCCTTATCGAGTTTTATCAACAAGAAGAATATCATCAATAAGAAGCATACACCATGGTACATCGTCTTGCAAATGTCTAGTAAGAACATCCATAACTAAAGCAAAAAGATTTGGGCTTAAAGGTTATCCTTAATGTAAATCCAATTGAAATAGGAAAATACTTGGTCAAACCATCTTCTGTTGAACAACAGTAACAACTCTTGAAAACATAACATTAATGGCTTGAATATAAACATTATTACCTCCTTTCTTTTCTAGAACTCTACAGAGAATTTCTCTTGGAACTTTATCATATGCTTTCTCTAAATCAATAAATCTCATATAATAAGTATTGAATAGATGTTTTGGGAGCTCCACAAAAGTAGGAAGAATTTCGAAGAAGGCTTTGAAGGATCAGGAGCTATTGTGGGAGATGGATGAAGGTGGCCGGTCATCTAAGGATGACCGGAACACCAAAAATTTGATATCTACCGCAAGTCCAATCATGTTGGATTCAAGAGGTAGATTCTCATTCAATCGAATCTCTTCTTTTCGGATTTTGGAATCTCCTCTAGTCATAAAAGAGGGAGGTTTAAATGCTATGAAAAAACCTTTGCCAATTTCAAGCAAAGGTAAGGAAATAATTTCGTCTTTGAATGATACGCCAAAACCTTTGTCGGCTATCATTGCTGGAGCAAATGATAAGGAAGCATCATCATCAAGAGGTAGTTTTGCTGATATTTTAAAGAAGGACATTGATATTCCAATTTCTTCTTCAAAATTGGATATTCCTAATGTGTGGATTAAAAAACCTCACATTAAAATAAATTTTAGTGAAATACATGAGGATATTAGAGATGAAAATGTTGTCATTCTTGACAAGGGAAAAGAAAAATCTAATGTTCAAGTTTTGAACAATTCATTAGTTGTTAACATTCTTAGAAAAAATTATCCTTTTTCTAAGTGTTCATTTGAGTTAAGCAAGCAATGGACAAAATTTGGAGGATTTCATATTACATTGCTTGGTCTAGATTGGCTCCTTTGTTCATTTCATTCTCATGAAGCCATGGAGGAAGTTCTTAACGGAGGTCCTTGGCTTGTAGGGGGTTTTGTGGTAGGCTTAGACAAATGGTCTCCTACCTTCTCTCCTTATTCTCTGAATGGAATTTCTTCTCCAATTTGGGTTCGTCTTCCTCATTTGCCACTACACTGTTGGGATGAATCCAATATCACTAGAATTGTTTCTAGAATTGGAACTCCAATTTTATTGGATGGTAACATGTTTAGATGGGGGAGAAGGGAATTTGCTAGAGCTTGCATTCGAGTAAATTTGAATTCTAAGCTCCCCTCTGGAATTTGGGTGGAAGGAATTCATGGTATTTTTTCAAAAGTTTTGAGTATGAAAATCTATCATCTTTTTGCTTTAAATGTGGAAAAATCGGCCATATTGATTCTGTGTGTCCTAATACAACACATAATCAAAATCCTATTGTTAAAGAGGCCCCTTGTTCTTTTCAATCTGAAAATAATTCTTTTGGACCTTGGATGCATGTGAAGTTCAAAAACAAAAGGAAAATTATTCCAGAAAAAAAGATTCTTAAAGTTATCTCAAACATGGATAAATCAGATGAAGTTTGTGTTAATAACAAAAATGCTGCCTTGGAAGATGCTGAAGGAGGCGAGATTTCTGGTTCAGAATTTTCTATTGATCCTTTGACAGCATGTGACGTTGCTGGAAACAAGGAAGAAGAAGACAACGCAGTTAGACGGGGTGCTGAATTTTCCACTGTCCATCCTGTGATTGCTAAAAAATTAAAAATTCAAATCCCACAAATTATGGACCGGTGGAACAATTTCAGGAAATACAGAATTTAAACTCTGAAATTTGTTTGGCTGATCCAGTGGAAGTGGAGTGCAATAATTTGAATCCCAACAGCAATATTTTGAATTCAAAATCTGAATTCAAAATTCCTGAAATTGTGGAAGCTATTAAGGAGTTGAAGCTGTTCCTACCAATTCAATTCAAGTTGTTGAATTTCAGGTAGATAACAAACCAATTTTTAAATTCAAAAATGCAGATTTTCAGGAGGTTATTGCAAATCCTTCAACTGAATTGGCGGCTGGTTATAGCATTAATGCTGAACCAATTATTAATTCAGCTTCTATACCTGAATTAAAAAACAGTTTTTACTTGATAAGAGATACTTCTCCACTTTCGGATATCTCATTGAATTTTTAAAAAACTGCTCTTAAAAAAGACAATAGTCTTTTTAAGAAGAGTAAATCCCTCGGATCTAAGCCCACATTGTTCAAAGAACTTCAAGCATTATGACCGGTGAAAGATAATCCTAGAAGGAAGATGGCTGAAATCAAAGTGAAGAACGGCATGAGAGCTTCTTCTTCTCTTTTACCTCAATAAAATGCAAGATGGTTCTCCGGGTGACAACAACATTGCTGGTAGATACTTGAAGATGGAGCAAATTATCAAAATTTTTGGATTAATGCTATCTTTGGAAGCTGACTTTGGAGATTGGAAAAAGTTTATGGAATATCTATCAATGATATTCTTAAGTGATTGCTGGATTTTATTGTTAAAATGTACTTTCCTTTTTAGCTTTTATTGCTTCGTTTTTTATCTAATTTGTTATATTAAACATTTTTTAATTGATTTTGGAATCATTACTAAGTCTTATTCTCTAACTGGATGGGAACTCTAGTTTATTACTTTGGTATCCCCTGCATCTCAACAGTTTCAAAATAAGAATTAGTGGGTTTCATATCATTTATAATAAGTTTAATTTAACAAATTTAAGTCCAATAAGGTACCTTTTTCTTGTTGAAAAAGGAACCATTAGCTTCCTTTACCTAGTTTGTATTAGGTTGTCTTTTATTTTATAATTAATGCAATTATGCATTTCTTCAAAAAAAGAATAGATGTTTTGGGAAAACTTGGAATGATATGACATAATTAAACTAGAAAAATGGTAAGAGCAAGACCACCTAAAATAAGTAAAAAAGTGTTAGATATTTTGGACATTTACAATTAAAAGTAGAATTTACACCAAAATACATTTAATTTGTATAGTTATGAATGAGAAAGAGTAGAAAGAGTAATAATGTTCTAGAATAGAGGAACTCCTAAATTTTTGTTACTACATAGATGTAGTTTTCACAGAATCATTTATATGACCTGTACACTAAATTTTTTGACACAAGCCCTACATAAAAAATAATAACTAAACATTTGAAACATTCCGATGATATGTGGATGTAGAGAAAATGAACAGTATGAGAATCACTATAGCATAAGTACAACGAAAGCTGAATAAGTATGGTAAAAATGAAGACAATAATTATCACTCACCAGAGTTCTATTTACCAATGATGCTATCGCAAGTGCAGTCCTTACTTGCTTCAACTACAAAATAAATAAGTATTTTATTTTTCCAATATTACCCATGTGGGGAAAGCATCTCCACATCTGACAAAAACTGCGGTCTGCATGGTCCCCAGAGGACTTCAAAAATATTGATAAATACAGAAACAAAAAAACATATGTAATCTTACCTGGTAATTAACTAACGAGAAATGAGATTCAAGAGTATGTGCACCATCTAATAGCAAAGCCTTTGGAATATTCGGTTTAAAAGACAAGTAACCTCCTGTAAGAAGCCATAGAACTTCTTTAACTTAAATTAAGAGCACACATTATATAAATTTATTAGAAAACTTTCGACAACTTGTTTTCCTGCAATTGATATAGTTAACAGACGCCAGCAGGCTAATTTTTCCCTTTTAAATATACTACTATTCAATTTAAGAACTGACACCTTTCTATTTAGTCATTATTGGAGTAGGCAGGGGCCGGGTTTACTAATAAATGATTTAATTAGCTCAAATATCCTTATCATTCCATCTATCATACATGCCCTTTTTGAGATTTGACCATATTCATGAACCTCTTGCATCAGGAAATTCAGGAATTTGGCTTTAACTCCAAAACTGGCATTCTCAGAATCGTGGCTATACAAGCTATTTCAATAAAGTTAAACTTAAACCAGTAAATATTAACCAACTTTAGTAAGACAGTATTATCAAAAAGTTGAATGAACTAAAGAGACATAACTTTTTGCAACAAAGCTTTAATAAATGATTTATATAGTGGATCTCCCTTGTGTTTTGGATTTCATGAACTTTATATGTTTTCATTTTATTTTTAATTGCATGGAAGCAATTATGATAATATATATTATGGCGATTCCAAAACTCAACTAAAAAGAACTTGTCGAGTAAAATCCCAAATATTTTCATACAACGTTTAAATTTTAATTCAACAATTTGTGGTATGTGCTCACACAAGAAATTTTAAAAGCATGTTTGGATCATGTGACCCACAGCACATAAGGAATTTGCCAACCAGGATATGGGAAAAAAAGAAAGTTTAAGAATCAAGAATTCAATTACAGAGAAATGATCCAAAGCATTTCCAGTTTGAACATGCTAACTAAATATTTCAATACAACAACAACAACAACAACATCAAGCCTTTATCCCACTACGTGGGGTCGGCTACATGAATCTTTTTTCTCCATTGTGTCCTATTAAAAGTCAAATTCTCGTTTAAATCTAATAAAGAAAGGTCATTCCTAATATTTTCTAACCAAGTCTTTTTAGGTCTACCCCTACCTTTCTTAACATAAGTCAAATCTAATACCTCTACTCTCCTAACCGGGTCATCGCAAGGCCGTATGATTTTTACATGGTATGTCACTGTGACATATCCATACATGTCAATAGTAAATACTGAACTATAATGCAAAGCACCTATAGAGCCTTAGTGCATAGCAAATAGCAATGTGAGTGCTATTTTAAAAATGGCACAAAACATAAAATTTTATTAATAATTTATTTAAAGTTCAATAATTTAAGAGAAAAACACCAATCATAATGTGAAAAGAAACTATAAAAAATAATATTTCTTTAACATATTAAATACAAGCACCAAAAGCTCGTGAAAACTTACTAGTATCATTTAAATTTTACAAATGGTATCGTATGAGTTCATGACATTGCACAATTCAGGTGAAAGCCAATGAGTAGTCGAAATAAATTTGTGAAGCAATGAGAGCAGGAAATACTTCTAATCAACTTGAAATAGACAAGACTAGTATCAATTTTTTATCTAAATAAATTAATTGAAACAATGCCAAATTAATACAAACATCTTTGATATATAACTTAACCTTCCAAAGCCATCCTTCAAAACTTAATTCACAATTAACGGGTTCAGCTTTAATAACAAATGATAAAAACAACACAAAGAATCATGAATACAGTCTAAAGAGGAAGGAAAGTGGATTGATAAATATTAAAACCATTAACAATCATAATTAAATAAAATCCGAGCACAACATGTGCTAATCCTTGAAAAAGATACAAATGTTTATCCATCTTTACTGATTAAAATCACATTTTGAAAGATATTTCCCAAATATTCATATTCACAAACACTGATGGTAAAACATTTGTATCTTTGCAAAGACAATCAGAAGAGTTAAGAACCATCGTTCAAATTGTAACTTTGCCTATTTCCCATCAAATAACCAAATCTTCTTTCAAATGGCAACTTTGCCTATTTCACAATGATAACATCATGCAGAAAGTTTTGCAGAAAATATTAAGTACAAAATGAGACAAAAATAACTTCAATTGTATATGTTGTGTCAGTATATGATTTTTACATGGTATGTCACTGTGACATATCCATACATGTCAATAGTAAATACTGAACTATAATGCAAAGCACCTATAGAGCCTTAGTGCATAGCAAATAGCAATGTGAGTGCTATTTTAAAAATGGCACAAAACATAAAATTTTATTAATAATTTATTTAAAGTTCAATAATTTAAGAGAAAAACACCAATCATAATGTGAAAAGAAACTATAAAAAATAATATTTCTTTAACATATTAAATACAAGCACCAAAAGCTCGTGAAAACTTACTAGTATCATTTAAATTTTACAAATGGTATCGTATGAGTTCATGACATTGCACAATTCAGGTGAAAGCCAATGAGTAGTCGAAATAAATTTGTGAAGCAATGAGAGCAGGAAATACTTCTAATCAACTTGAAATAGACAAGACTAGTATCAATTTTTTATCTAAATAAATTAATTGAAACAATGCCAAATTAATACAAACATCTTTGATATATAACTTAACCTTCCAAAGCCATCCTTCAAAACTTAATTCACAATTAACGGGTTCAGCTTTAATAACAAATGATAAAAACAACACAAAGAATCATGAATACAGTCTAAAGAGGAAGGAAAGTGGATTGATAAATATTAAAACCATTAACAATCATAATTAAATAAAATCCGAGCACAACATGTGCTAATCCTTGAAAAAGATACAAATGTTTATCCATCTTTACTGATTAAAATCACATTTTGAAAGATATTTCCCAAATATTCATATTCACAAACACTGATGGTAAAACATTTGTATCTTTGCAAAGACAATCAGAAGAGTTAAGAACCATCGTTCAAATTGTAACTTTGCCTATTTCCCATCAAATAACCAAATCTTCTTTCAAATGGCAACTTTGCCTATTTCACAATGATAACATCATGCAGAAAGTTTTGCAGAAAATATTAAGTACAAAATGAGACAAAAATAACTTCAATTGTATATGTTGTGTCAGTATATGATTTTTACATGGTATGTCACTGTGACATATCCATACATGTCAATAGTAAATACTGAACTATAATGCAAAGCACCTATAGAGCCTTAGTGCATAGCAAATAGCAATGTGAGTGCTATTTTAAAAATGGCACAAAACATAAAATTTTATTAATAATTTATTTAAAGTTCAATAATTTAAGAGAAAAACACCAATCATAATGTGAAAAGAAACTATAAAAAATAATATTTCTTTAACATATTAAATACAAGCACCAAAAGCTCGTGAAAACTTACTAGTATCATTTAAATTTTACAAATGGTATCGTATGAGTTCATGACATTGCACAATTCAGGTGAAAGCCAATGAGTAGTCGAAATAAATTTGTGAAGCAATGAGAGCAGGAAATACTTCTAATCAACTTGAAATAGACAAGACTAGTATCAATTTTTTATCTAAATAAATTAATTGAAACAATGCCAAATTAATACAAACATCTTTGATATATAACTTAACCTTCCAAAGCCATCCTTCAAAACTTAATTCACAATTAACGGGTTCAGCTTTAATAACAAATGATAAAAACAACACAAAGAATCATGAATACAGTCTAAAGAGGAAGGAAAGTGGATTGATAAATATTAAAACCATTAACAATCATAATTAAATAAAATCCGAGCACAACATGTGCTAATCCTTGAAAAAGATACAAATGTTTATCCATCTTTACTGATTAAAATCACATTTTGAAAGATATTTCCCAAATATTCATATTCACAAACACTGATGGTAAAACATTTGTATCTTTGCAAAGACAATCAGAAGAGTTAAGAACCATCGTTCAAATTGTAACTTTGCCTATTTCCCATCAAATAACCAAATCTTCTTTCAAATGGCAACTTTGCCTATTTCACAATGATAACATCATGCAGAAAGTTTTGCAGAAAATATTAAGTACAAAATGAGACAAAAATAACTTCAATTGTATATGTTGTGTCAGTATATGATTTTTACATGGTATGTCACTGTGACATATCCATACATGTCAATAGTAAATACTGAACTATAATGCAAAGCACCTATAGAGCCTTAGTGCATAGCAAATAGCAATGTGAGTGCTATTTTAAAAATGGCACAAAACATAAAATTTTATTAATAATTTATTTAAAGTTCAATAATTTAAGAGAAAAACACCAATCATAATGTGAAAAGAAACTATAAAAAAATAATATTTCTTTAACATATTAAATACAAGCACCAAAAGCTCATGAAAACTTACTAGTATCATTTAAATTTTACAGATGGTATAGTATGAGTTCATGACATTGCACAATTCAGGTGAAAGCCAATGAGTAGTCGAAATAAATTTGTGAAGCAATGAGAGCAGGAAATACTTCTAATCAACTTGAAATAGACAAGACTAGTATCAATTTTTTATCTAAATAAATTAATTGAAACAATGCCAAATTAATACAAACATCTTTGATATATAACTTAACCTTCCAAAGCCATCCTTCAAAACTTAATTCACAATTAACGGGTTCAGCTTTAATAACAAATGATAAAAACAACACAAAGATAATCATGAATACAGTCTAAAGAGGAAAGGAAAGTGGATTGATAAATATTAAAACCATTAACAATCATAATTAAATAAAATCCGAGCACAACATGTGCTAATCCTTGAAAAAGATACAAATGTTTATCCATCTTTACTGATTAAAATCACATTTTGAAAGATATTTCCCAAATATTCATATTCACAAACACTGATGGTAAAATCGAATCCATAAAAAGAGGCATATAATTTTAGTCGTAGAGAACTTCAGGAGACAAATGAATGTTTAGATACACGTCATGTAAGCTCTACTTAATAAATTATCAGAAAACACTTAAGAATTGTAGGCTAAACCCTTTCATTTGAAGGATGATAGAGTTTCTACTTCCTATAAATCTATCATTTTGCATAAACTAGACACTAAAATAAATACGAGCATGAAACCTAA